AGTTAATTTCAGCAAACCAAATGCAAAGAAAAACACTTTGCTCATGTCCAAAGAAGAAAGCTTAAAAAATATAGGGAGAACTTGATGCTTACAACAAAAGGAGAAAACAGAAAAGTTATCTGCAGTGTAAAATAACTCTTGATGTACATTTAATTAATCGGGATAACAATAGAGAACCTACTTAAAAATTATTAAGAACCTTTTTGAACCCTTTTTAACCTATCAATGTGGACTTACACAATACGGTTAAGAGGCTGTCTATGAATCATTGTGCAATCTCATTTGATATCTCACGTGTGTATAAATTATGGCTGGTGTCAAGAAGAGTTCAAGCAAGTCTCAACTTGAAATATAAATTATGATTTCAAGTTTAGCTAAAAAACTCAAATTGATCTAAAATGATTGATTCTGAATAAATTTCTTAGTTAAGTCCAGCTAAGTCGCTTAATTTCAAAATTTTATTATATGAATTCGTGCATATATGATTGAAGCCACATAAATATGAAATTTTATATGATTAGAATCCAAGTTCAAGTTATTTTGAACTAATTTCAAGCAAGCAATCCTCAAGTAAAAAAATTAATTTAGATTTATAGATTAAAATTCAAATAATCATTGAGTTCAAACAAAATTGATTGCCCCATATAAAACTTTACCTTTCTAAATGATGCAATGTAGAATTTCCATTTGAAACTTTAGTCATGAATCATAGTCTTGTCACTTTAGTCTTCGTCACTTTAGTGAGTATTATTTAATTCCATGTTTTGTTCTTACACTTATTTGAAATTTTATAATTTTAATTAGGTTCAGATTGTCCTCCAAAATTATGATAACTATTATGAATAATAAGATTCTGATTGTAAGAGTTGTTGATGATGACAGAAAGATATGCCATCTTTTAGCATCCTCTATAGAGATCAATTCCTCACTTTTCTCTTAACTATAAGTTTCTTTCTTTCACTATTCTTATACTTGAACATATTCTCCTGCAACATCCATTCCTCTCTTCTTCTCAATCCCTTTTTTTCTAGTTATCACTCCATTTTCTCTCAATATCAAATCTTCATTAACATCACAATATCAAAGTTCAACCACAATCATAAATGTGGTTGCCATCTTGTCGTCATTTAGTATCAAAGCATATGTTCCAACTAAAGTTTAAAATTGTGCAACTGGGTGTTGAGACATTTCCGTTCGTGAGACAAGTCGTAAGCCTTGAGGCGGTCTAAGGCATAAGCCTCATAGTTTTAAATTTGTGTGAGTCAAAATAATGGGATAAAAATAATACATCAGCATCATAGCTTATATTTATATTAAATAAATACCTATTAACATTCTAGCATGACAAAAAAGGACAAATTATGTTTATATAAAATAACTGATTATGTAAGTTATGAAATATTATGTAACAACTTGCACAAAATAAAAATATAATGTAAACATTAATTGATCAAGCCATCAAACTAACATAAAACATAAAATAAAAATAACATAAAATCAAAGTAAAACATAAGATGAGTTTAGTAAAGTAGATTTCTCTCACTCCTATTGTTTAACATAATAGCATATATAGATCAAAATAAAACCGTAATAAATAATCAAAAGCCGAAGCAACAAGCAACAACAGTGCAGTAGGAGCGACTAGCGACAATTGCAGTAGGAATGGTGGCACCAGGTGGCCGCGACGGTAGTTGTAGCAAGCAACAACTAGTAAGCAAAAGGTAGCAATGCTTGGAAGCTTGACAGAGGAGAGGGGAGCTCTGCATGTGAGAGTGCGCGAACCGTCTAATATATGGGAGAAAAAAAAAACTAAATGCGAGAGACGCATGCCTCAGCTAAATTAAGGCGAGGCACGCCTTGAGACGGGCCGCCACCAATATGAGGTGTATGCCTCTCTCGAGCTACTTAAGGTGTACGCCTCAAAGCATTTTGCTTTCGAATTGCATTAGGGCGTGCCTCAAATTGTGCAATTTAAATAATGATTCCAACATTCCATGAGAATTGATGGTAAAATCTCCATAACTTTGGATGTTCTAATAGAGATCAAAGTATTGATCTTTATTTCAACACTCCTCTTCAACATTAAACAATAAAAGTTCTAGTATTACGTGAAAAAAAATAGTGAACAATTACAATTCCATGAAAATACCTTGGACATCCTTCGCCCCTTATTAGTAACAAATCACTCATTCTTTTTCCTCTACTTAAATCCCTCACAAACACCAATTTATCTACCTTCCACAAAATCCTTACCTCAAGGTTCCTCCACTGAAACCTCTAAACTTATCTTTTGTTTATATTTCAATTTAAAATTTTAATTTCATTTTTGAATTTCCATTTGGAATATGAATTTCCATAACAATTTAAGTTAGGATTCAAACTTTTCATCCTGATCTCGTTCTAAAATATTTTCCTCCACAATTTTTTATAACGACGTGAAGTCCTAACCAAATCAAAAATCCCAAACCAATTTGGCCAACCAAATTAAACAATAAGCACAAATGAGGGACAAAAAAAAATTCAATTTCTTCTAGTCAATAATAAAAAAATAAGAGGATTGGATTCATATCAACCAACACTATCTATAAAGACATCCAAATATACAGGGATGCTTTCCTAGAGCAGTGCTGATGCTCTTTAAGATCAACATTGAGAGCCTTCTTCAATGGTGCTAATGATTTTGCATTCACCCTTATATCATCTTCATCGAAATGGATTTTTCATTTATTTCACTTCTATAAGTGGATTTCCCATTGGATGCATTTTGCTAACTCAATTGAATAGTCAAGGATATTCAAATCTTTCTTCAATAACATTTCTACCATTTGGAGTATGTCTTTTTGTAGTCAGGGAAATTGATATAGTGTGATTTGCTAAATTTTAAAATATTATTTAAAATATCATGTTTATGCAACAATAATCCATAATAGGAACACTAGGGGCATGTAACCCCATAGGCACAACCCAAAATAGATTAGTTAAAATTTGTGCATTTTTGTATATAACCCTGCATAACACAATTGCCAACATTTGCACAAATGCAACACCCCCTTGCGCTATGTTGGTACGTTCAATTGATGCCGTTGTGTTCTTGTCATTTGTCATTTGTCATTTGTCATTGTCAATGCCCCTGTGCTCGATCCCTAATGCTTGATCTTCTTTTTCAGAGAGAGACATTAAGAAAAGCTCCTAAATAACGTTAAAGCATCCTCCTCCTACCATTGAGGTACATTCATTATACATCTATCTATGAATTAAAGTTTTAATGAATAAAAGTCTGTAAATCAAAAGACTGCAGAAGAAAAGAGAAAATAAAATTTCTATGCCAAGGTAGCCATCAAATTTTGATTTAATTCACTAAAGTTTATTGGAGTTGCATAGAAAACTAAGAATTTAAATGCAGGCTATTACAGTTTATGCCAGGCAGGTCTACTATGAAAGCTATACGTTTATTGAGAGGTTTGATGGAGAAATTCAGAGAATAAAGAGAATCTACAATTGATTTTTATTGATTTAGAAAAAGCTTACTATAAGGTTCCAAGAGATATCCTTTGGAGAGTTCTTGAGAAGAAAGGTGTTGATATGACTTATATTCAAGTCATTAAAGATATGTATACTAGAGTTGTTACTTGTGGTCGAACTAAAGGAGGAATGACCAAATATTTTCCTATTTCTGTTGGATTACATCAGGGTTCGGCTTTAAACCCTTAACTTTTTGCTTTAGTTTTGGATGGTCTTATTGGACATTTACAGGAGGATGTATACCTTAGTGTATGATTTTTGTTGATGATATCCTTCTTGTGGATAAGACGAGAGAAAAAGCACAGGAAAAACTTCAATTATGGAGGTCTACATTGAAGTTTAAAGGCCTTCATTTGAACAGAACTAAAACTGAATACATGGAATGTAATTTTAGTAGTAGTAGCTCTAGTGACAGAAGTGTAATTTTGGGTGATCAAATCATTAAAAGGCGTGAACGATTTAGATATCTTGGGTCTGTTGTTCAAAGTGATGGTGATATAGATGGGGATGTTAATAGTAGAATTCAAGTTGGTTGGTTGAAGTGGAGGAATGCTTCGCGCCTTTTGTGTGATAGAAAAATACCACTTAGACTAAAAGGAAAATTTTATAAGACAGTGGTGAGACCTAAAATGCTCTATGGCGCTAAATGTTGGCCTTTAAAAAAGAAGCATAATACTAAGTTATGTGTTGTCGAGATGAGAATGATTAGGTGGATGAGTGGCTTTACACTTAGAGACAAAATGCGAAATGAATACATCCATGATAGGGTTGTGACGGACAAAATTAGAGAAAGTCGTTTTAGATGATTTGGTCACATTAAACGTCGACCATCTGATGATCTGATTAGGAGAGTAGAAGCTTTATATTCGACTTATGTTAAGAAAGACAAAGGTAGACCAGGGAAGACTTAGGCTTATTGTATAAAAAATGATTTTAATTTATTAGAACTAAATGAAAATATGACACTAAATAGGACGCAATGGAGAAAGAAGATTCATGTAGCCAACCCCACATAGTGGGATTAAGGATTTGTTGTTGTTGTTGTTGTTATCGTTACTAAAGACTAATCAGCTCCATAAACTAAGTTTTCATGTAAAACATTTTGCAAGGATTCCATAAATCTCGATGCTCAAAGAAATCATTATTGTGTGAGTTAACATAATACAGACAATCAGCTATGTTAAGATGGCCATCAAGTTGTGGTAAGCCATGTAAAAACTACTCATTTGAATGACAGATATTACTTAAGTATAAGCAGCTAATTAAACTTGTTAATTTTTCATCTAAAATGTTTTGCAAGATTTCCATGAATCCAGCCCATGCTAGAAAAAAAATTCTTAAAAATGAAAACTAACTAATTCATTTTAAATCTAGAAAAAAGAGGCAAAACATTTTTTTCAATAAAAAAATATCAACATAGTAATGCACTCAATATAATAATATGAGGAAAAGGTAAAATTATTGAAGTAACTACTTACCCTATAGATAGTACCTCAAGAAATAGGAATCTAAGCTTCTTTTGTATTCCAAATAAATCAAAAGATCCAACATAAAGCCATATTATAGCACTTGTAGGTCGGATCGCACAAGCTAGTGCTGATATAAACAAAGCCTTCTTCCTAGAGAAAAATGGCGCATGCTTGGCATACCCAAGGAAAGAAATCCAATAATAGAGACCTGTGACAGTCATTACAGTTTCCAAGCTATTCGAAAATGTCCTTGGCATGCAGAAGAACATGAACCAGTTTGATAATTGAGAAAATAGCTTTCAAAACTAAGTTAAGGACTTTACCTTTTCTAACAAAAGAATGATTGTCATTAATCCTACTTGGATAAACAAAAATAAGAATAAAAAAGGATACAACAAATTTTGCAACCCGATCACCAAAGACTATTCGTGAAAGCTTGTACAGATAAAGGTCCCCAACAGAAGAAATCACGGACTGAAAAAGCCGCGGAGTCCGCATCTAAAATCATTAAGGGCATGATTATACGTGAAAATGAAAAACTCAAAACAATAGACATATTTTCATGTGTAACCTTTAAACTAGAAGTTTATTATATGTATGTCATACAATCATAAAGGCACACCAACCAAAACTTATAGTAATTCAAATTATTGAACAGTTCCTGTAACTGAATAGAGATATCAGTAAATAAAACCATATAAAGACTAGTCCTTCAAACCATGTAGAAGACACAAGTAATTATATCTTGTTTAATCAGTACAGCACACTGATAAAATCATATTAGCATGATCATGTATGGATGCACACATGACCACATCTACCAACCTAGAAAATGCGACGCTATCATCATCGCTACTTATGCCAATTATTGAAGTAGACTTCATGAATCCTCGTTATACATTTAGTCTTGAGATAAATGTACAGACTTCATGAATCCTCGTTATACATTTAGTCTTGATGAATGCTGCATAAGGTGTTTACTCTCATTTACATAATTTTTGGGGCATTTACATACATACCACAATTCTTCTGCATTTGCATATCTAACATCTAAGCTTCAATATATACATATACATCATTTAAATCTTTAGCATTGTGCATCAAAACTACCACTATTACTAACTTTTTTAAAGTGAAATGCACCTTTTCATGCATAGGTTGATGACACCAAAGCATGAAAAATATAAATGTCAAACTTTGGATGCTAGGCATGTAAATAAATAAGAATTGTTTGGAATGTATTTAAATTTCCCCTCTTTTTTTTTTTGCAGAACATGTGTTACATTTAGTCTACCCATTTTCCTTCCCATATCTTCAACATTAATTTTCTTTTTCAGTTTTAGTGATCCGTCGTTTACCCTTTATTGTGCATGCCCAAGCCATCTAGATTATTTCCACAATATTATCTTCAAAATGTGCTATTTTTCCCTCTCTTTGAGTCTAATATAACCACCTTTTTATAATTATTCCTAATTTTGCATGCTGGCGTAAAACCACAAAAGAATTTAGATGGCAGAGGCAATTTAGAAAGCTATAATCCAATATTCTACAGGAAAAACAAATCTTACTGTAACAATTAATGGTCGTTCAAAAATTTTGTTGACAAGAACAAAATCTTTGGTTTAGGATGTGAGTGTATGAGTAATCAATCATTGAGAAACTGTCAAAGCTAACAGACCTGTTACTGAAAAACTAACCAGCTAACACCTAAACTTAGCTTTTTGCATATATACCAACCAAATCTTTAATATCAAATAAAAAATATCATTTTTTTAACTTTCAAAAGGTAAAATACACCTTTTTATGCATAGCAAATGTGGCATAAATGCAATAATTGAAGTTTAGGTGTTTAATATGAAAATGCGTAGGAATTGAGTGGTATGTATGTAAATCTTCCAAAACTAGAACCATTAACAGAACCTAAGGTCAACAGCAAATTGCAAAAAACACAACATGGATTATTATCAAAACTCGAACACTAGAGAAAAAGATGCGAGTATTGCATATGGCATTGCAGATTTCTCACCATAAACCATGGACTATCCAATCGAAGAAAGGCCAAGGCTTTATAAAGCACAGCGAAAACCAACGGGTGAAGGTAGCTACGGATTCCATTCTTCCACTCCCAAGTGAGGTGCCCGTAACTACACTCTCAATCCAAGAAAACTATGAAAATGAATCCAAGGAATAAGCAACAAGGTAACTTAGATTTAGCAGAACTTCATAAATTGAAAGATTTTGAGGTCTAAACCACACCCGAATACCATCCGATGGGCTACCTCAAGGGCCTGCCAGTGCTCGTCGGGATTGAAGTACGTCTGCACCAAAAAAGAATTGAGAGCTCGGAATGCCAGGCAAAAGGCAAAGATCCTCTTCTCCGACGAGAAGAGATTGTAATAAGGAGTCTCTTCCTTTTCATTTCGATGATGTTTTCTAAGGTTGACATTAAGATTCTCAGTCTTCGAAGTTCCCATGAATAATTGACGGCGAAGGCTTATCAAGATTGAGCTGAGGGCACGGTGATAACAAAGCTGGATTGCGTTACAATATTTTCCTGTAGAATCAGTAGTAAATCTGAACAAAACTTCGAAGGCTGCGGTAAATACGGGATTCACTAAATCCTCCGAATCGGTGGATTTAACTTGGCTCTGCGCATTTAACACCAGGACGACACTAGGACGAGGACGAGCGCTTCCCGCGAAAATGAAGGTGTGAAGTTACCTTCCTTCAGGGTTTCGCGTTGGATCGGAGCGGCAGGAGGAGAAAGATGGGAGTTTCGGCTCTCTCTACGCTGCGATCCCGTCGTTGCCTTCCCAGTCCCAGTTCCATCAAACCGCGACTGTATCGCGACTCGCGAGTCTCCTTCACTTTGAGCTTCGTTAATTTTATCAAAGTATGAAGTTTTCTTATTTAATATAAAGTGAAAAAATAATTTTATAATAAATTAACGAAATTACTTAATATATAATAAAAAAATTTATTTCTTTAACATTTTTAACATCTAAAAGATAAAATTTTGAATTTTAATATATTTTGAGTATATTTTATGTTAATATGTTTTTAAATGAGTTGGCTTGCGAGCTAAGGAGTCCGAGCCGGGGCTAGGTTGAGCTTGTCTTGTTAGCTCATCGAGTTCAGTTCACGAGCCACTTATCGAGTCGAGCTCAAGATCGCTTGACTCACTTGCACCCTAACTCTTGAGGATTCGGTCACGAAGGTGTTGGTTCTGGGATCTAACTCTGGAGTCATGTATTTTCAAAAGGTAATTTAGGATACAACAACCAGTGTTTTTTACCTATTCCTCGTGCTCATTCAGTCTAGTTTACGGAACGAGTTGTAGTGCTTGTGTCAGCTTAGTTAAGTAAGTTTAACCCCATTGGTTTTGTTTCTCTTGAGTGAGTTATATTGAGTCTTGTCCTTTTTTTATATCAATAAATAAACCCCATTTTTTAAATGATAATAAAAAATGGCTAAATTTTTCCTGCTTTGTTGTGACCTTAGTAGTTTATGTGCTAACTTTTTTATCCCTATTTTTATATTAAAACTCTTCTAATTACTGACTCTTCGTTCGCCTTATTATACATCCCAACAGCCTTAGCAAATTAAATAAACAAAAATCAATTTGTCCAATTAAAGTTTTGAAGAATAAGTCTCCAATTTTTTAAATTTATCTTGAGATAAATGTACCATAAATTTTGATTGGTTACTCAAAACTCAAAGGTCTTTACACCCTACGCCAA